GTAGGGGGGTGAGGGGTGAGAACTCACTCCAGAGTAAGCAGTCACTGTCAGTGTTTCTGAAAGCGCTAAGGGAGGGAAGGGAGGTCTGCAACTCAGTTAAACAGCACGCAGGGTGGATCGACCCCACATTGAAAGCTTCAGCAGGATCCCGATCGAAAGCCAGCTTTTAATGACTCTAAAATCAGAACTTAATTCAAGAGATTAATTAAATTGAGTCAGGCCCCTTAAAGCAGCTATTCTCAAAAGGAGAAAGGCACACCTTCAGGGTTCTGATCCTGTCCTCCCCACCACCCCAGCCACTGCTGGAGTGACTTTCCATTCTCAGTGTTCCTGAGCCATCTCTCAGGCGTGGGTAGTGGAGCAGGGGTTGGGGTCTGCGGCAGGGGCTCCCGGAGCCTCCACAGATAGCAGGGGTCCCCACCCTACCATGGCAGCTACGGATGTAATCCACGTTTATTGGCCGGGGATACAGCAGTTAACAAAAATGTCAGGCATGGTCCCCACTTCGTGGAGCTTCCAGACTAGCTGGGAGATGAGTATTAAACAATCCCTACGAGCCAGTGGAGTGACATTGGGCCAGGCCAAGAGGACTCTTAACCTGGGGCTGGGGGAGGCTGCTTGCCCTCCAGCAGGTGGTCAGCATCTTCATTTTAGCCCAGTGCCACCTCCATTCTCCTGCAAGAACCCCCGTTCCTTTAGGCGTGGCACCAGCTGAATGTCCCGAGTGGCATGGCAGGCATGCTTCAGCTGCAGTGACAGGACAGACAAGGTCCAGGAAGGCCAGTGGCAAGGAGTGGCCCTCTGTCAAGGCGTGCGCAGTGCCGGGCCTTCGTACAGAGCGCTGAACATAAAAACAGACCCAGACCCTGGCCTCGTGGAGCCTACCATCTACCTGAAAAAATAGACCGATAAGCTGGCATTTTCAGGCCGATGTGACCTTCTCTCGGTGCGTGTGTTGTGGGGGCAAGAACCCGGGGAGTCTGGGAGGGCTTCCCAGAAGAACTGCAGTCGGCTGAGGGTGGCGGAAGATGGGGGGTTGAGAAGAGCTGGGGAGCCAAGGGCAGAAGGCAAGAGGCTGGTGCTGTGTCAGGGGCCGCCTGGCAGCCGATGCAGCCCAAGTTGAGGATGACTGTGGCACTGACCCCCCACTTCTCTCTTTCTGTAGCCGTCCAAGAACAAGTCACCTCTAAGTGTAGCCAGACCACGGCAAGCCCCCCGTCCAGTCAACCCATGATGCCCCCCAGAGCTGGGCTCCTTCAGAACAATCTGAATCCAGCAATGATCCCACCCACCAGGCACCAGAGCCGCGAGGGCATGGGCATGGCCTCGCCGACTCCGGGCAAGCAACAAGGAATTCTCCACTGTAACCCCCCGTTCCCCATACCCTCGTGGCCGGGCCAGAACCCCCCGGGCAGCCATCGTCCGCAGATTCCCAAGGCGGCCCCCTCGGGAGCGCCCCTGCCTAGGTTCTGTCCCAGACCCCTGGGCAGCCAGCTCCCGAGTCCCCACCAGCTCAGACAGCCCTGTGTGCCAAGAATGCCCTCAGTGTTCAACGATGCCGTGTGGGCGGTGGCCGCGGCGGCAGCTGGGACCACAGCGGTCTCGAGGGAGCCCCCCCCGAGCCACGTAGACCGTAGCACCCAGCCGCGCTTTGATGGCGACTCGATCTTCACCAAGGAGCCCGCCAGAGCCCCCCGGGTAGCCCCGACACGTCCATCGCAGCAGGCAGTTGTGCCCCCCAATCAGGTGGCCCCAGGAGGCAGGCCTGGCCAGAAGGTGAGTGCTGCTCCGGTCAACCCCAGCTTCGGCCTGCTGGGCAACCAGAGCCTCAAGCAGAGCCCGGTGCGGGGTCCCGTGCCCATGCTGCACGCCGCCAAGTCCCTCCAGCAGGGCATGGCCAGCTTTGGTCCCGCGAGTCCCATACAGGGCATCGAGCCGCCAAGCTCTGTGGCCGCCGCCGCCGCCGCCTCTGCCATCACCGCCAGCCAGTCCCCAGGTCCATTCGGCAGAACGGGTGCCCCCCCTGAGCTGCCACCCTACGACTTTTTGTCCCCGGCCCTGCCCCCACTAAACGGTCTGCTCTCAGCCCCTGACTGCAGTGAGGTGGGCTTCTCTGAAGCCCCCTTGAAAGGCCCCAGTGGGAGCCCAGAGGAGGGCTGGGTGTGCAACCTGAGGCTCATCGATGACATTCTGGAAGAGCACGCCGCCCCCGCCCCCGCCCCCCAGAGTGCTGGGGGGCTTTAAGTGCCCGTAGAAACCCCCACGCCCTCACCACTTTAGGCAGTGGCGTGGAGCCATGGCCAACCCACCGCCCGCCACACAGCCGCCCAGTTGTTTCCTCCCCACAACCTGAGTGGCATCCGCCTGTGCTCATCCCTCTCTCTACCTGTGACAAAATGGAAAGCTGGTGATTTTTCAAGCTACCTGTACATATTTGAAAATTTTGTAAATGGTTTTCCTAAACGTTAATGACAGAAGTATTTATACTTCATTTTGTGACTTTGTAAATAAAGTGACGGCTTTTGTTTCAGTAGAGTTGTGTTTATTATGCATTGTTTGTGTTTATTATACATTGTCGCAAATAGGCAGGCTGTGTTCGTTGCTCCGGCGCTCCCGTGTGAAGAAGCTCCAGTGCTACCTTAGAAGCCAGGTAGTTGAGTCGCTTACGGTTTTGATGCAGTGAGACATGTGGATGTGACCAAGAGGCATTGTACAAACTGACAAACGCCAAATAGAAACCCCTTGGCCATTTATTGCCATTTTCACTAAAAATGCTATTGTCTTGTGTGATTCTTAAACTCTTGCAAACCTGTCTCCGCTGGCCCTTAACTGATGTGCATATTACAGCAAGCTTTACAAGTGCCCTGCAGGGGAAATTTGCCAGGAGCTTAAGAGTTCTGAGGCTTTGGGAGGGGTGTAGAGAGGGCCTGTGAGCTGCACACTGGCCGTGCTGTCCACCCTGAGGATCCAGAGTGTCCTCTCTTTATCATTCAGAGAAACCCCCAGGCTCCCACTTCCCCAGTGGCACCTTGCAGGGCGGAGGTGAGAGGTTCCTGGTTTAAAGCCTTTCAGTATTTGTTTTCTTGTAAGGTCTGTGGTTGGGGCGGGGGGGGTAGTCTGTAAACATTAATGGTTGACGGGGTTTGTCTTTGATGGTTTTTATCTGCAATTATCGTCATGTATATTTAAGTGTCTGTTATAGAAAACCCACACCCACTGTCCTGTAAACTTTTCCTCAGTGCCCAGACTTGTGTAATCACGTTTTAATTGCCACCTCCTCCTTCGCCTCTACATTTGAAATCTGGCGTCTGTTTCCAGCCAGTGCGTTTTTTCTTTGTACTGTAATAAACAGCCAGGAGAAAAGTGCCTCTATGTTTTTATTTGTCAAGGGAGCATCCGTTACCGACGCACCCGTGTCAGCTAAGCCTACTGGTGTCTTTGGTTCTTTCGAGAGGCTGCTCGGTGTCTTGTGCAGCGGGAAGATGCTGCACGGAGCGCTGAGGGTAAGACGTTTGTGAAGCACGTCATTTTTTTTTTTTTTTACCCCAGGCCTTCATTTCACCGAGAAGAGGCCGCTGAAGTAACCGCACTGGCGGCAGGGGGCAGGGGGCGACTTGCACCGCCAGTCCAGACTCTCTGTACCCCAGCCTCTTTCCACTGAGGGGGTGACAGACCCAATTAAAGATCCGTATTCCTCCCATGTAAGGGACCCCCATACAGGGCGCGGGAGAGGGGGGGCGCGGAGGCAGGCCGCACGTCGGCTGCACGGGAGGGTGAAGTCCTGCCACTTCGCAAAGACGGCCGGGGAGAGGAGGGATTTGCCGCCTCCCCTCCACCTCCTCTCCCAAAGCCTAGGCTCAACCCAACCCCGTTCACCCAGAGTGCGGAGCCGGAGGAGCTCGGCGGCCCGGGGGCGGGGGCGCCAAGGCCGCCGAGCTCCGCTTCAAGTCCGGCACCGCAGTGGAAGGGGAGTTACCGCGTCCCTTGGCCCCGCGTCCCTCCCCCGTCGAGCTCCGCCCCCGTCGAGCTCCACCCCTTCCGGAGCCCCGCCCCCTAGAGTCGGCACGGCCCCTTCAGTCCCCACCAGCTGCCCCGCCCCCCGCCCCGCCCCCGTCCGGCCCCGTCCGGTCCCCCCCGCTCTCCTCCCCGCCGGCCTTTGCAGCAAGGGGGTTGGCTGCGGGTTGTTTCCGATTCCAACTGCCTGTGACTCCACACTCGGGCCTTCCCCACAGCAACAAAGTGGCTGCCACAGAGCTTAATATGGATTCGGCTTATGGTCGGGCCTCATTCGGAAGGGGCCCCAACAGGATGGCCGGGAGCGTGCCTCTCCCATGGAAGCGCACGTCCCCAAAGGTAGCGGGGAAGCTAGTTGGGCGGCCCCTGCCCTGTGCTAGACGAGCGGAGCCGAAGCGCCGGTTGGCATCGCTTGTAGTACAAACTGAATACATCACATTCGTGCCCCTAACCGCCTGGGAGAGCCGATATCCTCATTCCTGGACGTACGAAATGGTCCACCACAACGGCACGCTTGGGGGGCTGAGGGAGGCGCGTACACCGAGGCATCCTGTCCTGTCCAA